CCCCCCCCCCCCAAATTCGATGCGAAAAAAAGAAAGAAAGAAATTGTGGAATCAAAGGGAATACCAACTCGGAATTTTTACAAGAAACATGAATAAAAAACCCTGGTTCGCTGATTTTTTTTTCAACTCTTGATTCACGATTTTTTTTAAGTGCGTTAAAATCTGGGATTCTGATTTTTTCGAGTGTTTTTTTTACTTTCAACTTTCTAACTCGTGAAAATTCGTATCTTTACTTGCATTTCTTTCTTATCTATTAATTTTTTTACAAGTAATTTTACGAGGTATGATAATAAACCGAAATAGGTCTAACGGCTCTCTCTGGTTTCTGTGATTTTAAACATTGAATGTCGATGACTCACGTCTAAAAATTGTATCCCCGCTGTAATTTTTAAAAATATCCTATCGCGTTTTACGTACCAGTCAAAAGAGGGAAGGTAGAATCTTGAAAATCCCATTTTACAATAATAAATCTGGAATAAGTACTTACACGTCCGAGTAAATTTATGGAGAACGAAGTAGCGGAAAGATTAATGTAGACTGACAACCTGAGTTTGCCATTTTAATCGAGTAAGAATGTTCTGTGTATTAAAATTTTAAAAAAAAATTATTTCTTTAGGTCGGTCGAGATTTATTTTTGACTCAGTGTGCGTAGCCACCATTATTTTAATTGCTGGCTCGTCTCAAAAAATAGACAGTGCCCTCTATTGTTCGCCCAAAACTTACGTAAGTCCTGTCTCTCGCCCCCTCATTGAACCAATCCGGTTTTTCATCGCAGTGCCTGGTGAAATTCAAATAAATAAGTGTCAAGTAGTTTATTTGTATCGCGGCCTTTCAAAAATCACCTGTCGCCAAATTGTTTTAAATACGTATTTTTGCACGTTAACTGTAGCCATCGTGCAGTTATTTTCTACGGCACACCAAGCGACCCCAGTCGACCCAACGAGTCGTGACAAAGTTAGGTCATGTATGGCGTGAAGCAGAGCCTGCGCCTTACTGCAGCCTCATTTGCATATGCGGACGTACATTTCTACATCAAAACCGAAATATAAAGTTGTAGGTCAATCTAAAGTTACCTAGTAGGTAACTCCCCCAGCCCTTTGGATTTTTTCTACATTTATGACCATGATCCCGTGTTTCGTGAAGAGCGACCGCTTCAGTTCTACTTTGCGTAAAAGGGATACAGAGGAGGAGTACGTAGGGAGAAAATTAAGAGCAAAGGACAAAAAATATAGGCAGATTTGAAGGGGGGAGAGAAAAAAATACTGAGATAAGGACAGATTTTTAAACTTATAACATTATTGACATCAGGGGAGGGGGCCACTTACTTGGCGTGCTGAGAGCCGTCCTCAAGAAGTTGCATAGTTGTTGAGACCTACCACGAGGTTTCCTGAGGTGATGGGATTGGTCCTTTTCCGTGTCCCGGAACCCCCTTCCCTTCTCAGTCTCGTTAACGCTTATAACGCCTCCTCCGTCAGAACACTCACCAGACCTCTTTTATTTTTTCCCCGTTTTTCTCTTCTTTTTTTCGAAATAAACGTACGCCTGCACGGCGTACCAATTCCTAACTAACATATTTACCTATCATTGCCTATCACGCCTAGCACTCACAAGTGTTCGCACTTTTCGAGTAAAACAGAGGAGGAACTTATCGACAGTATAAGTCCAAAACCACGTATTTTTTTTTTTTTTTTTTTTTTTTTTTTTTTTTTTTTTTTTTTTTTTTTTTTTTTTTTTTTTTAACGAAATACGATTAAACGTTGTCTTTGATTCTGAATACGATGAATAAAAATCAGTAAAAATTCAAATGAACAAGCTGTACCAGTTGTCTTTCAAAATTAAATTTGTGCAACGTCGTAAATCGAGGCATACGTATTTTTCGACCCTTACCATCGAATATAACCGTATGTCGACCGAACACGCATGCATGTAATCAGGCAACCATGTTTGTCAGTTTTTATCATCTGTGTGTTGGAATGACAATTTACCACTTGCCAGTGACCTAATTTCAGCGTTCGATTTATGTTACAGATGTATTCAAGGGTCTCGTTGTGTGTCTGGTTGGCCTACCAGCGCGCGGGAAAACCGTGCTCGCTCATAAGCTAGCTAAACATCTTCATTGGATCGGTTACAAGTCTAAAGGTAAGACCCGTCACTCCCTCGCATTTTTTTTTTTTTTTTTTTTTTTTTTTTTTTTTTTTGCCTTGAGCAGCTTGCCTCTTGAGCGAACGAGTTATCTTATTCAGAACAGCGTTGCCTGTTTTTCAAAAATGGCATATCGATGGCCAAAGTGCGAAAAACCACGCATCTCCAATGCGGTGTTTCAAAATTTCCGCTCCTATTTCCCCTTTTATTTTCTTTTTCGGATGAGAAACAAGCAAACTTAATTGCTTGAAATTTATGCTGAATATGTCACACTTAGTCATCGATATATTGGTATACATCGTTTTATATATTATTTTGTATTAAACAAGAATAACGATTAGGAAAAAAGGCAAAAGTTGACTCATTATTGCCTCGGAGTTGTTCGTGTTTCTCCGTGCAACGCAGATTTGGCGCCAAAAGATGTAGGTTTCTCCTTATTGGCGCTCGTCCGAAAAACCTACAGTAGCGGGAGATTCAAATATCGAGCGGGAAATTTAAATTAGCGCTCCTGTAATTTCCGCGCGCTTCTGAGAGGCGCGCATACAATACATCTGTAAATTCACCCAATACTTGCATTGTTTAATAAGTAGCATATTTGGAACATCTTTAACGATAAAATGATGTATTAACAACCAAATTATGTGTTTCTTATACTTTGTAAATGACCAATCCACGTGTTTAAATTTGTGAAAGAAAAAAAAATTCGGGGTAGAGATTTTTAAAATTGAATCAGATGTGGTTTTTGGTGGCTTTGTGGCTCTTATTTTTTCTGTTATCATGATTTTATCCAAAAATATTTCTAATTTGGAAAAAAGAATGCTCATTTTCACTTTTTATGAAATCTTTTTTTTAATCATTGCAATCCAACGCTAAATGCATTTTTAATCTCAGTATGCAATGCTGATATTGCTTTCAATGTTTCAATGGCACTACTGAATAAACCTATAAGCATGCAGATATTATAGCCCAACCACAAAAAGTGGTAGGTTAGGTGGGAAAATGCGGACCTACCTAACTTCTATAAGTCATGCCATGCTTCCTCAAGATTTCTCCCTCACTTTTTGTAGAACCTTAAAATTTTTACTGTTCATTTTTGTTGCAGTGTTCAGTGTGAGTTACTATCGAAGGAAGCATATTGAACTTTACGACAGTCATGAGATTTTCAGGATTGACAACACTGAGGCGTTAGAAATCCGCCAACTAAGCGCTCATGAAGCCCAAGAAGACGCCACTGAGTGGCTCCAAGCTGAAGGCGATGTTGCTGTAAGTTCATATCCTTACTTATTAAAGTCATTCAGTTAAGTCAAGATCTTTTTAAGTAATCATCGGCCCCCTTTGTATTAAACTGCTGAACCAAGCATAAGTGATTCTTAAATTCAAAAGTAATTCTCATGATGCAACTTGAAAAAAGGAAGTATTAATTTAGTTGCACAACTAAAACAAGTTTTCGCTAACTCCTTCGACTTTGCTATCAGCCATCAATGACGTATGTCAGCAGTTGAATGTTGAAAATCTAAAATTATAAGCTTCTGCCATTGCTGAGGTACCGGACGAAGGTCTCTGTTTACCTAATCGTTGCTTAAATACCACAAGTTAAGCTCATTAAGAGTCACTCACATTACTGACTGGCCCCTCGGAATCTGAGTTTGAGAATTAGAGGCGGCAAATAGTTGTAAATGTTTCTCATTGTAATGGTAATACCTACTGTGTATTTATTGTAATTTCTTCATCTTTCCTTACAGATTTTGGATGGCACACATGCCACCCCAACGATTAGGAAAGAAGTCTATGACCATTTCGTGAAGCAGATGGGATTTAAAGTACTCTTTGTGGAATGTATTTGTGATGATGAAAAGATTTTGGACAAAAATGTGAAAGTAAGTCATTTACCTCTTTTTAATTTAACTTTTTATCGCTCAATCTATAATTTGAAAATAAAACAGACCTGTAAAAGTCAATTCTCTATCTCTTCATATTGACGTTCAAATATTGATAATCGAGACTACCCACCACATTCCCTAGATTTTTGTCAGTTTGGAGTTATCTACATAAATGAGCTGGTAAGATATCTTTTATCCACCATTAAAACATTTTAACCAAAAAAAAAAAATCAGGTGGCAACCCAAAAACTTAATGCAACAACATTCAAGTATCCTTTCAACTTTTGAAAACGAAGTAATGCATTATGTTAAGTTATGCATACGTTGGCCACTAAATAGTGGCCGACATTTAATTATACTATCTAGAGCCTATAACATCCTACATACTTTTAAAGAAGCAATAATAACATTTTAAATTTACCTTCCTTGTTCCGTTTGAGCGGTTCGAGATTACTTAATGAATTTATCAATTTTTTGCATCCACATCCTTATTTTAAACTTTTCCTTTTTTGTCTTTGACAGGAAATTTTGCAATTCAGCAAGGATTATAAACACATGAGTGCTGAAAAAGCTTTGGATGACTTCCATCATAAAATTGAACACTACATGGAACAGTACGAAACAATCTGCCCCAAAGAGGAGGCTGCGTACAGCTACATCAAAATTTTCAACGAAGGTAAGCAATTCTTACCTCTACTGTTACTTCTTTCTATCAATGAGTGAGAAATTAGTGATCATGAGTATCCTCTCAGTATTGTATAAATGGCTCATGGGCTTTAAGTGTCAACCCAAATGTGTGCTAAAAGATCCTCTTTGTTGACACTCGAATGAGTACTTTATCCAAAAAAAAAAAAAAAAAAAATG